CCTGCTGCAGTGAATTCTCTGGGACCAAAAGGATGGGTGTTCGGGGTTTTTGCTCCAGAGGTTTTGCAGCCAGCCCTAACTGGGAATTTCCTCACCCACACTGGTGTCCCGGGGGTTCTGTCCTTCCCTTTGCCACCAAAGCTCTCCCTGACTCTCTCCTAGGGTGAGAAGGGCAGCAAGGGTGACCTGGGCCAGCAAGGGGACGATGGCTTCAAGGTGTGTGACAGGTTTTGCTCTTATCCTTCCCCCTGGTCCCTTGTCACCCTGTGTGACATCCTGCCACGTTTCCAGGGCAAGCCAGGACCCCACGGTCTCCCTGGGAGGCCAGGACCCAAGGGAAAGCAGGTAAGGGCAGGGTGGAGAGGGATGTCAGGGGCTGAAATGAGTGTTTGGGGTGAATTTCTTGTTTTTCCATATAAAATCCACCTGGGGATGGGGCTGGGTTGTAGAAGGATGCCGGGCTGGGGGATGTCCTGCGCAGTGCCCTGAGCTCTCTGTTGTCCTTGCAGGGTGACACTGGCCCCCCTGGCCCACAGGGACACCCTGGAATTCCCGGGACACCGGTGAGTTCTTCCCCCTCCCGCAGGTTTGGGGTTCACTCCTCACCCCACGGGGATGCAGCTTTGATCCCACCTGCCTCCCTCTTATCCTGGTCCTGTCCTTCCCTTCCAGGGCTCATCTGGACCCAAAGTAAGCAGTGGGGAGCAGCTGGAGCGGGATCAGCCCTGCCATGGGATCCCTCCCCTCCTTCCCACTTCCCCCAGGGGTGCAGGGGGCCCGTGGGGGTGCAGCTCAGCACAGCAGCATCTCCCCCCTTGCTTTCCTTCCCTTCTCCACCTCCTCCTTTGGCAGGGGCTGAGAGGCTTCCCGGGCCTGCCAGGCCCCAGGGGCACGCCGGGAATGCCGGTAAGCAGAGCCACAAACGCCCCTCAGCCCAAAATTTGGGTCCCTCACTCCCCTAAACGTGGCAGTGAGGCCCTGCCATGCCATGCTGTCATTCCATGGGGATGTCCAGCTGCTGGCACTGGTGGAGGAGCTCACTGAGGAGCTCGTGGGCAGCAGCCAGTGCCACCAGCGCTGTCACTGTCCCCCAGGGTCTGGCTGGCCCCCCTGGTCCCAGCGGGCCTGCAGTGATGTTGTCCCAGGAGGAGTTGCAGGTGAGTGACCCCAAGGGGCTGTCAGGGATGCTGTCCCATGTCCTGCTGCTTCCGAGGTCCTCTGTGCACCAGGACCAAGAAGATCCAGCTATTCCCTGTCCCGTCACACTTGTCCTTGTCCCCTGCACATGCCATCCCCTTCCTCAACACCTGATGAGGCTCCTGGTGGGGGGATCTATGGTCAGCTTGGTGATATCCCCTCCTTTTTGTTTCAGCACCTCATTTATTCCTCCAACCACCTGAACTACACCGTGGTCTGGGCTCTGCTGGACACCCTGAGCCGGGAGCTCCAAGCCCTCGTGGAGCATCCCAATGGCACCAAAACCAAACCAGCCACCACCTGCAAGGAGCTGCTGCTGGCTCACCCCGGCCTGCCCGACGGTACCAGGGGCATGGGGGGCCCCCTGGACCTGGCCTGGCCTCCAGAGCCTGTGAAGGGACAGGCAGCTCTTTGAGATAAAGAGGGAATAAGGATTTTGGGGAATGAGGTCAGATGGGCTTCATGGGCATCCCTGGAGAAATGGGCTGGCAGCCAGGCCGCCAGCTGGGGTGGGATGGCACTGTGTGGCACCCTCCCTGTGCCAAACCTGGGTGCCAGGGCTGTCCTCTCCTCCCTCCAGGGCAATACTACATCGACCCCAACCAGGGCAGCCCCCAGGATGCGCTGAGAGCCTTCTGCAACTTCACAGCCGGGGGGGAGACCTGCATTGCCCCCGTCCACAACCAGGTACGGGGTGGCTTTTATGGGGCAGCTGGGGGACCCCTCAGGGTGGGTGGGGACAAGGGCTGGTCGGCTGGAGAAGGGCAGGGTGACCAATCTCTTGCTGTGGTGCCCACTGCCCTGGCAGGGAGTGAGGATCCTGGTCACTGTGTGTGCCAGGCTGCAGGGACACACAGGGGCTCTGTGCTGGCTCCTTGTCCTGTCGGTGCCACTATCCCCTGCGGGGACAGCGTGACAATTGTCCCTGCTCCCCTCAGGTCCCCATCAAGGCTTGGCTGAGCACCTACAGCTCTGAGAACACCTTTGAGTGGTTCAGCACCCTGCCCGGGGGCTTCCTGGTGAGTGCCCGGCTGGAAGAGCCGAGGGGACACAGAGCTGAGCACGGGGGTCTCCAAGTGCCACTCTGCAGTGCTGGGACAGCCCCTGGCTGTGCACAGAGGGATGTGACACTCCTTCTGCGAGGAACCCCAGTGCTTTAACCCTGCCAGGGTTGAGCCCTGGGGGAGCGCAGCCCCCTGCAGCAGCCCCCGCATGCCGGCTCTCCCTCCCTGCAGCTGGAATACGCGGGGGCCAGCGCGGTGCAGCTCCGCTTCCTGCGCCTGCACAGCCACCGCGCCTCGCAGAAGGTCTCCTACTCCTGCAGGCCGGCCCCGGAGCGCGGCCAGCCCCAGCCCCGCAAGGAAATCCGCTTCCTGGCCGACTCCCGGGATCACAGCTACGCAGCCAGCCTGCAGGGCTGCCTGGTGAGCCTGGCCCACGCAGCCCTGCTGCCTGCAGAGCCTCCCGAGCTCTGGAGAGTTTGGGATGGAGCGGGGGGATGAGGCTGCACACGGTGGGATGGGGATGGAGGGCGTCCACTCCCCCATTCCAAGGAGCTTCCTGGTCTTGGGATGTGGCAGGGGATGGGGTGGGCCCTGGCAGAGGTCACCACCCTGGCAAAGCCAGGAAGGGCTGGGGATGGACGCTGGCTGCAACAAGGAGCAGCCAAGGGAGCTGCAGGCCCCCGGCTGAGGGGTTTGGTGCCGCTCAGCTGTCCCTGGTGGTCATTTCAGCTGGACAACGAGTCCTCCATCACCGACACCATCTTCCAGTTCAGCACGGAGGAGCTGTGGCTGCTGCCCCTGCGGGACCTGGCCGTGTTCCACAACGGCGATGCCTCGCACCAGTTTGGTTTCACAGTCGGACCAGTTTGCTTCAGCTGAAAGTGGTGCCACCCAAACCGAGCCAGCCGGTTCTGTCCCCGCCCAAGAGACATCCCGATGGGGACAGGTGGATGCAGGGCTCCCACCTGCTCCACAGAGCTGCTGTGTTTGGAGCTGCATTATGCCCTGGACTCCACTTCCTTCTGCAGTTGAGGAATATTGTTTACAGAAGTCATTTCTCTATAAATTATATATATATATTATATATGTATATATTATATATGAGAAGGTGCTGATTTAATGACTGCTTGGGGGAGGTTTGAGAGTTATAATTGCTGGGAACTGTCTGTAAAGGAAAAAAAAAAACAAAAACCAAGGAGCAAAACTAGTGCCAGCTTGGGAGAAGGGGAAGGAAAGGAGCTTTTCTTTGCCAGGGTCAAGTGCACAAATGGTTGGAGCATTGATTGCCCAGGACTGGGCTGGGAAGTGGCCCTGGTGAGCCTGGGAGAGCCCAGTGTTCTGCTGCTCCAGCACCTCCCTCCCAGCCAGGCACCAAGTGCTGCAAAGAGGTGAAAATGTCAATCCCCCAAAAATCCTGCCTCAGTTTTGAGTCTCCATCTCACTGAGAGGGATTTTAGTGGTGTAGAGACAGGCACTGTAGCACTGGGTGCCTTTGTGGGCATGTGCACCTGCTGGCACTTGGGGAAACTGAGGCAGGGCCAGCTCAGCACTCCCTGTTCCCAGGTGTAATGGGGATGGTTGGAATGTCCCAGCATGGAGCAATCATCTGTGTGCTTCTAGTCACAGCTGGAAGGAAAGTTCCCCTTTGTCCTGCCTGTCTGTAGGGAAAATAAAATCACAGAATCCTAAATGGTTTGGGTTGGAATAGAACTTAAATCCCATCCAGTACCACCCCTGCCATGGCAGGTGTGAAAAATGCCAATCACTTATTTTTGAAATTTAAAAAGTTTAATAGTAATAAAATGGTTATAAAAATAGTAATATAATTGGAGTAAAATTTGAACATTTAAGATTAGGACAATATGAGACAAAGAGATACGGACGTCTGGGTACCTTTTTCTAGGCAACACAAGCCCAAAAAGGACCCCTGTTAACAGAGGATTAACCCTTAAAAACAATCGCCTGTTGCATATTCATACATCTCATACATGATGCATAAATTCCATTCAAACACAGAATTTTGTCTGGTCACTGTCAACTTCTTCCTCTTAATCCTCATGCCATCTTCCAGTCTGAGCCAGGTGGGAAGAAGTTAGTTTTCTGCTGGTAAGGGAGCAATAAATTCCCTTTCTCTGAAAGATTTAGGTGTCCTGTGGCTCCTATCTGGTGCGAGTCCTTTCTTAAACAAATATCTTGCATAGCATAGTTTCTATTTTAACATTATGTTATAACCTAAAACTGTATTTAATACACCACTTAAGAAAATTAGTATAGCATAACTTTCTAGCATAATACAACATAGATTTCAATACTTGCAAAAAGCCAATCATAAAATACACATTTTTCACGGCAGGGACACCTCCCACTGTGCCAGCCCCAATGTCCAGCCTGGCCTTGGCACTGCCAGGGATCCAGGGGCAGCCACAGCTGCTCTGGGCACCCTGTGCCAGGGCCTGCCCACCCTACCAGGGAACAATTCCTAATTCCCAATGTCCTCTGGCAGTGGGAGCCATTCCCTGTGTCCTGTCCCTCCATCCTTGTCCCCAGTCCCTCTCCAGCTCTCCTGGAGCCCCTTCAGGCCCTGCAAGGGGCTCTGAGCTCTCCTTGGAGCCTGCTCCTCTCTAGGCTATAAATCTTTCAGCATTCTCAGGGGGGACCAGCATAAAACCCCCGGGGCGGTTTGGATCAGCCCCAGCAGCGGGATGGGGCCAGGAGCGAAGGGAAAGCGAAAGCGCAGGGGCCGGGCCGGGCCGCGGGAGGAGGGGACGGGCCCGGGGCCGCCCCGCACTACAGCTCCCGGGGAGCCCCGCGCCACAGGCCGCGACGGGCTGCGACACCCGTGTGACACCCGTGTGAAGGGCTGCGACACCCGTGAGACAGGCTGCGACACCCGTGTGACGGGCTGCGACATCGCCGTGGCAGCGCCGTGACCGCAGCCCCGCGGGGACGGGCCGGGCCCCGCGCCCGCCGCCGCCGCCATGCAGGTGAGCCCCGGGGAGCACGGGCACGCCCCTGGAACCCTGTGATTCAACCCTGGAATCCCGTGATTCCCCCCTGGATCCCTGTGATTCCCCCCTGGAACCCTGTGAATCCCCTTGGATTCCCATGAATCCCCCCTGCATCCCCGTGATTCCACCCTGGAACCCCGTGATTCCACCCTGGAATGACGTGATTCCACCCTGGAACCCCGTGATTCTCCTCTGGAGCCCCGTGATTCCCCCCTTGAACCCCTTAAATCCCCCCTGGATCCCCGTGATTCCACCCTGGAACCCGTGAATCCTCTCCCCGGAAACGCTTAAATCTGCTTGGAGCCCCGTGATTCCCCTCTGGAACCCCTTAAATCCCTCCTGGATCCCTGGGATTCCCCCCTGGAACCCCGTGAATCCTCCCATGAACCCCATGATTCCACCCTGGAACCCCTTAAATCCCCTTGGAGCCCCGTGAATCCCCCCTGGAGCCCCGTGATTCCCCCCTTGAACCCCTTAAATCCCCCCTGGATCCCCGTGAGTCCCCCCTGGAACCCCATTAATCCCCTTTGAAACTCCGTGAGTCCTCTCTAGAGGACTTAAATATTCCTGGAAGCCCGTGATCCCACCCTGGGACCACGCAAATCCCCACCTGGAACCCCATGAATTCCCCTGGATCCCTTTAAACCCCCTCTGGAGCCCTGGGAATAGACTCTGGGACCCCTGAAAGCTCCCTGGAACCCATTAATCCCCCCATAACTTCTTAAATCTCCCTGGAATTGTCCAGGGTCGGGTTGGACGGGGCTTGGAGCAGCCTGGGGTGGTGGAAGGTGTCCCTGTCCATGGCAGGAGCTGGGACAAGATGAGCTTTAGGATCTCTTCCAACCCAAACCATTCCATGGTTCTGTTTGATGTTTAGGGCTCCCAGCCCCCTGAAGCAGCAAGGCCTGGAGGGTGACACAGTCCCAAGGAGGATCCCAGTTTGGGGACACCCCCGTGAGCAGCATGACCCCAGTGTGGGCTCGGGGTGCTGCAGGAAGGCAGCTTTATCCCAAACTGTGGGATCACACATCCCAGTTAGGCTGGAGCAGCCGGCTGGGATGCAGCCTGGCGCTGCTCTGTGCAGGCACCACTGGTTTGGCTAGAATAACCCCAAAAGTGCAGCAGATCCTGCCCTAAATGCACCTTGAGCACAGATTTCCCAACAGCATTTTTTTCCCGGTGTGAATTCCTGCGGGGGAGGAGCTGGGCGCAGCCTCACCTGGGAGCCTGCTCAATCCAATCCCTGCTGCAGGGGCAGGTGGGGGAGGACAGGATCCCCTCCCTCAGCCTGGGACATCTCCCTGGCAGCAGTGGGAAGAATGCAGGGATTGTTAGGATTTTTCTCTCTTGACCTTCACCCGCCAAGAAATCTCTCTGTGGAATCGCTGTTGGCCCAAGGAGCATCATTCTGGGGTCACACCCACTCTGGGCACCCAAAAATGTGTGTCTCCACCCCAGGCTGGGGCAGCAAAGGGATTTCTGGATCTCTGGAACAGGCTGCCCAGGGAAGGGCTGGAATCACCATGCCTGGAATTGTTTAAAAAACATAGAGAGGTGGCACTTGAGGATGGGGTTTAGTGGAGGCCTTGGCATGTTTGGATTTCAGGATCTTAGATGGCTTTTCCAAAGTTAATGACTCTGATTCTGCCCATCCCTAAAACTGTCACCTGCTCCTTCCACCACCTGTGGGTGAAGCCTGTGAAGGAGAAATAGCTTCATTTAAAGGCTAATTATGATTAATCTGTGGCCAAAGGAGGCTTAAAAGGGTGAGCCAATTACATGTGCTAATGTGCTGTGGGTGAGGAGGGCCGAGGGCTGTAACTGGAGCTGGGCTGTGCCCTGAACACCCACGGGGTATTGGATGGTATTTCTGGTCCTGGTCCTGTCAGTCACCTCTGCTGGTGCTGGAAAAGGCAGGAAAGAGCAGCCAAACACAAATCTGTGCAGGAGAGGAGCAGCTGTGAGCTCCACAAACACCTCCTAGGGAGATTCACCAAAGGGAACATGAAAAACCCAGCAAAATTCCACCTTTTGAGCAAGAAGTGTCAGCTGGTTGTGAGCTCTGCAGCTGATGTTACACAAGAGCAATTCCTGCTCCTCCTGTTTCAGCAGGGTGAAGGAGAGGGGTGGTGCCTTTGCAGGTCCTGGCAGTGTTGGGATTGATGCTCCTCTGGACCTGGTCCCCATCGCTGGGTGGTCACTCTTGTGGCTCTGGGTGCCTTGGTGGATGAGTTTTTGGGTGTTCTGGCAGTGCAGGAAGTTTCTCTGCCCTGGGAGGCAGAGGGGAGCAGAGGCTCTGCCCATCAGCTTCCCCTCAGCCTGCACCTGTCTGCAGGGGCCTTCCCTCCTCAAATCCACGTGGATCTCTCTTTGTCACAGGGGTAAACTGGCTTTTTGTCACAGCCCAGACACAGAGTTGCTGCTGGGGGTGCAAATTGTCCTGCTGGAGCTCACAGGGAGTTCAGCCCAGTCAGCGTGACTGTGAATTGTCTGTGCAAGTTCCTCTTCCCGTTTCAGAACTGGGGAAAAACTTGCACCATTTGGTGAATCCCCAGATGAGCATCCCAGGGTGGGGGTGCAGGGACCTGCTGACAGTGACAGGGCACCCATCACCCCGAGGGGCTCCTGCACTGCCCTTCCCTGGCCTCTTTTCCAGATGACCTTCTACTTCTCGGACACAGCAGTGCTGCTCTTCGACTTCTGGAATGTCCACAGCCCCACAGGTAGGCAGCCAGCACTGGGCCGTCCATCCATCCATCCATCCATCCATCCATCCATCCATCCATCCATCCATCCATCCATCCATCCCCTCACTGCAGAGCTGTGGGCTCCTGGAGCAGTTTTTGGCAGGACCTGCCCCTCCCTGCTGAGCTGTGCTGTGCCCTGGGCATTCCCCAGGCAGGGGTTGATTCTCCCAAGCCAAGAGCAGCAGGAAGGGGCTGTGTGAAGCCCCCCCTCAGCCTTCCAAACCCCCCAGATCACTCAGGAATGGCTCAGCTTCCCACTTTCGCAATTTTCTTTCTGTTTTTGTTTATTTTCCCAACATCATATTTTAACTCCCATGTTTTTTGTAGAGTTGATGCAAAGCTGTGTATTTGTTTCACAGCAGCTCTCCAGGACAAGAGGGCACAGCCTTAAGCTGAGCCAGGAGAAGTTTAGGCTGGACATTAGGAAAACTTTCTTCACTGGAAGGGGCTGCCCAGGGAGGTGGTGGAGTCACTGTCCTTGGGGGTGTTTAAGGAGGGACTGGATGGGACTCTCAGTGCCATGGTCTGAGTGACAAGGTGCTGTTGGGTGAGGTCACAGGTTGGACTCGGTGATCTCAGAGGGCTTTTCCTACCTAATTCTGTGAGTTAAAAAGCTGAATAACCATTTCCTGACATTGACCAACCCTGCTGCCCAGCCCCAGTGCCAGGAGCCCCCCACGGATATTCCCAAACCCCCCCATGGTGGGCCCTGCTGTGGCCCCGTCACCCGCCCAGGCTGTCCCCGTGCTTGGGCAGTGTCGGGGTGTCTCTCCCGCAGGGATGGTGCTCTCGGTGCTGGTGATCCTGCTGCTGTCCGTGCTCTACGAGGCCGTGAAGATGGGCAAGGCCGTGCTGCTGCGGCGGGCGCTGCTGGCCCTGCCCCGCAGCCTCAGCCAGGAGGCCCTGACCCAGCCACAGGAGGGGGACAGCGACCCCGCGCAGGGCAGGTACCACAGGGACCCCCGCACCCCCCTGGGGCTCAGCCATGGCTCTGTGGGCCCCTGGCCAGCACAGGGGGAGAAGGGCTGCGAGGAGGAGCTGTAGGCTGCCAGGGAAGGGGGGTGTGTACAGCCTGGGGAGGTGGCTCCAGGGGCAGCCCAGCCCCTCCAAATCCTCTGGGAGGTGTCCAGGGTGGTGCCTAGAGGCTCGTGTTCCCCTCCAGGAGCTGCTGTGTAAGGTGCAGGAGGGTCCTGCTGGTTTGGGAATGGGCACAAGCAGCAACTCAGTCCCCACAAGCCTGGCCCTGGCAGTTCTTCCTTTGGGGCCAAGCCCTAGGTTTTTGCTCTTGTATTCAATCCCAGATCATTCCTGAGGCTGCTCTTACTGCCCGCCTCATTGATTTTGGAGCAGGATTTCCCCCTGAGCTGCTGTTTGTAGCCCCCACCCCTCTCCCTGCTGCCCAAACCCCCCTCTGGCCTCTCCAGGCTCCCGGTGGGAGGTGATTCCAGCTGTCCCAGCCCCTCACTGATGGCATTTCCCCTCTCCTTCCCAGGTGGTTCTGGTTCCACGTGGCCCAGACGCTGTTCCACGTGGTGCAGGTGGTGCTGGGCTATATGGTGATGCTGGCTGTCATGTCCTACAACGCCTGGATCTTCCTGGGGGCCATCGCAGGCTCCACCCTGGGCTACTTCATGGTGTACCCCCTGCTGGGCCGGGGCTAGAGCCCCCCGAGGTGGTGGCACGCGTGTCCCACCTCCTGCTCCTTCGTCTGGAATAGCTGCTGTCACTTTTGCTGGGTCTGTCTCTGTCCCTGTGCTCTGTGGGACACAGACCCCCAAGGACTTGCTGGTGGCCCTCGGGGCTGGCCCCACTCTGGGGACAGGGAGCCCCATGGCCAGCACTCACCACGCTGCCACTGGCCTCGGCTGGTGGCTGTCCCCCGGCTCTCAGGGACCTTTGTCTGGGTGGTGACAGTGGGGGAGTGCTGGAATTTTCTCCCCTTCCCTGCTTTTTGAGGAGGTTCATCCTGGCTGGAACGGGAACGATCCGGTGACTGCTGCGGACAGGGACCCTCCTGCCCAGAGCTGCCCTGCACCAAGCCCCTCTTCACACAGTGCCTTTGGGGACACTGGGGGTCCTGCCACCCCCACCCCGCTCCTGCTCTTCAGGATGGGGCTGGAGCAGCCCCTGAGCCGCTGGTGTGGCTGTGCCAGGGGGGAAATGCTGCTCCAGGTGCCTCTTGCTGCTTCCTCAGGACACCCCTTTGAATAAAATCATCTCAGCTCCACTCCTGCTTTGTGTCACTGCTGGGTGGGCTCAGGATGTGACACCCTGGGTCACAGTGGGACTGGGGATCCCCAGCCCTACCCAGGGAAGTACTTCAGGAATAAGGAGAGTCTCCTCTGGCTTTAAATAAAGCTTTCCCATTTTATTAATTATAAGCATATCTTTAAACATTTGTATAACTTTCTTAATAAAATATCCTGGAAGAGACAGGTTTGAAGTTCACAGAGAAAGGCACTTTGAGGGGGGCCTCCCAAGGCACTCTGGGGGCCCCCCTGAGTCGGTTAGTCTGGGCACCCCCCTTCTGAGGCAGGAACGGTGGCACCTGGGCACAGGTGGGTGTCAGGGTGCTGGTCCCTGCTCCAGGTGTCACACCCAGGGGTCCTGCAGACCCCCAGCACCTCCAGAGCTTTTGGCATCACCGTGTGGGGGCTGCAGCAGTTCTGTCCCCATGACACACGGGGGGTTCAGCAAACCCCTGCTCTGCTCAGCCATCACAGCAGATGCCAAAATCTGCAAAGCTGGAGAAACCATCCATGGAAGGTGCTGAGGAGATCTGGAGGGCAAGGGCTGGGATCTCTCCAGTGCACAGTGAGCTGAGCCTAGAATTATCCCTGTCCTGCCAGGCACAGCTGGGACACTGTGTGAGTGCCACCTTCCCCCAGAGACTGAACTCTGAACTTAAAATAGCTCCTAGAATAGCTCCTAGGGGTGAGGATGGCTGGGGGTGGGTGCTGGGTGCTGTGAGCCTAGCCTGGGTACTGGAAGCCCAGCCTGGATGCTCTGAGCCCAGCCTACCACAGCCCATGGCTGTCCCAGCGCTCTCCCCCTCAGCAGTGTCTCAAGTCCCCCCAGCATTGCTGTCCCTGTCGTGTCCCTGTTTGCCATCATCCCCTGCAGCCCCTGCTCCCACTGGCCCTCCTGGAGCTGGCCAGGTGGGGACGGCAGTGGGCAGGCTCCCAGGAAACCCCCGGGTGGGTGGCAGAGGGCAGGCTCCCAGGAAACACCCCAGACTGGGGCAGGGACAACCCTGGGGACAGCCAGGCGTGTCCCACACACCCACCCTCAGCAGGGCTAGTGCCAGCCCCCCCAGCAGCCCCAGGCACTGGCGTGGGGGGCAGATAAAGCTCTTCAGTAAAGCATCTCCTCAGTAGGAAAGAAAATAAGGCAGAAGAAGGACAGAGCAGAGCGCAGGGGACGCCCCATGGCAGGCTGGGGCCACCCCAGTCTGACCCGGCGGGGGCTGTGGCTGTGGCAGCCCCCTAGCAGGGGACCCCCGTTAGGCAGTAAGGTCTCGGTGTCCCCATCCCCTCCCTCTCCCACAGTGCTGCTCTCCATCCCGGGGGTCCTATCCCCTCCCCCAGCCCCAGTGTCACCGGGGCCAGTCCGTGGCGGGGGCTGGGGCTAGAACTCAGTCTGCACCCCCTCACCGCTCTCTGTGGTGCCCCTGGGCTGCGGGGGGCTGGCCCCGTGCTCGCCCGTCTCCTTGTCACTGCGCTGGTGACACGCTGCCGATGGGCTCTGGGCTCCGGGTGGCGCTGCTGTGCCACGGGGCACCTGGGCCTCTGCTGGGACACGGGCTCGGGGGCTGGCCGGTGCTGCTGAGCCGTGGGGCACGCTGGACACTGATGGGTCAGCTCTGGGCACCGGGGACGCTGGCACGGATGATCTTGGTGTGACGTGTGGCACCTCAGCCTCTGATGGGACATCAGCTCTGGGCACAGGAGATGCTGGCACGGATGATCTCGGTGTGACGTGTGGCACCTCAGCCCCTGATGGGACATCAGCTCCAGACACAGGGGAAGCTGGCACGGATGATCTCGGTGTGGCATGTGGCACCTCAGCCTCTGATGGGACATCAGCTCTGGGCACAGGTGATGCTGGTGCAGGACGTTGTTTCCCAGTCCCTGATGGGACCTCAGCTCCAGGGACAGGTGACAATGCTGGTGTGGCACACTGTCCCCCTGATGACACCTCAGCTACAGGCACAGGCGGTGCTGGTGCAGCCCGGCGTGTCCCTGTCCCTGATGGGACCTCAGCTCCAGGGACAGGTGACAAAGCTAGTGTGCCACGTTCCCTCCCAGCTCCTGATGGGACCTCAGCTCCAGGGACAGGTGACGATGATGGTGTGCCACGCTCTCTCCCAGTCCCTGATGGGATCTCAGCTCCAGGGACAGGTGACGATGCCGGTGTCCCATGTTCTCTCCCAGTCCCTGGTGGGACCTCAGCTCCAGGGACAGGTGACGATGCCGGTGTGCCACGCTCTCTCCCAGTCCCTGATGGGAACTCAGCTCCGGGTGCTGGTGATGCCGCTGTGGCACAGTGCACGCCGTCCCCATCACGGGCTGGCCCTCGCTGTGTGACACCCCCTGGGGCAGCCCCTGCCAGCAGCACGCCCTCCTCGCTGGCACCGCTGCCATCGGTGCCGTTCATCAGCCGCTGCTCCGCCCCGGTGCCATCCCCAGGGCTCTCCTGTGCCAGCGCCTCCCGGATCTCCTTCACCGCGTCCGGGGGGCTCGGGGGCAGCCCGGGGTGTGCCTCCTCTGGCTCCCGTGCCTCGGGGGAGCCGGGCTGCAGCAGCGCCTCGGCCCCGTAGGGCAGGGCCCCCTCGTCGTCCTGGATGACCGACACCACCTGCTTGGCCCTGCGGCGCCGCTCGGCCGCCGGCTCGGCCTCGGGCTGCCCGCTGCACTCCTCGCTCCAGTCGATGGGCAGCCCCTCTCCCAGCAGGTGCAGGTTGGGATCGCTGTTGTGCATCACCATGCTGTCCCTGTACAGGTTGTGCTTCCGCTGCACGGCCGCCTCCTTCACAGCTGGGGACAGGGAGGGACAGCTCAGGGGGGCTGCGGGCACTGCCAGGCTGGGGCACCTTGCCCAGACCTCCCCGTGGGTGATGGCACAGGTGGCTGGAGCTGGGCAGGGTGGGCAGCATCCCACCCACTGCTCAGCCCTGCCAGGGGGGAAGCCAGGTGGGAAAGCCCCTGCACGGGGTCACCCCTCTTTATAGAGTCCCCAAAGCCCTGTATAAGGTCATTCCACCTCGTACAGCCCTGACCTGATCCCCTGAATTGAATCACGACTCCTCAGGGACCCCCCAGCACCCTGCAGAGGGTCACACAGAGGGTCTCCTCATACAGCCCCCAGCACTCTGCATGGGGTCACCCCTCCTTATAAAGCCCCAAGCACCCCACATGTGGTCACCCCCTCCTCATACAGCCCCCAGCTGGCTCTGGCATTGTCCCAGCCCCTGTCATTGGGTGTCCCCAAAATCCTGTACAGCCCCCAAAATCCTGCAGAGGGTCACTCCCTTCTCACAAAGCCCCCAGCCCCCTGCAGAGGTCACCCCTCCTCACCCCAGTGCACGGGGTCACCCCTCTTTATAGAGTCCCCAAAGCCCTGTATAAGGTCATTCCACCTCGTACAGCCCTGACCTGATCCCCTGAATTGAATCACCCCTCCTCAGGGACCCCCCAGCACCCTGCACAGGGTCACACAGAGGGTCTCCTCATACAGCCCCCAGCACTCTGCATGGGGTCACCCCTCCTTATAAAGCCCCAAGCACCCCACATGTGGTCACCCCCTCCTCATACAGCCCCCAGCTGGCTCTGGCATTGTCCCAGCCCCTGTCATTGGGTGTCCCCAAAATCCTGTACAGCCCCCAAAATCCTGCAGAGGGTCACTCCCTTCTCACAAAGCCCCCAGCCCCCTGCAGAGGTCACCCCTCCTCACCAGGTGCCACAGGTCCCTACCTTGCATGATGTCTTTCATCACCGACTGCAGCACCACCTCCTCGTAGGTGTTCTCCACCAGGATGAAGCTGGCAAAGTCCTCGAAGATCAGCTCCTGAAACTTGGCTAATTCCTGCCAGGGGAGAGGTGGCTCAGCCCAGCAGTTTGGGGGGAATGGATGCTCCAGCCCCTCCACGGGGGTGGACAGTCCTGCCCCACACCCCAGACTTTCCCCTCTTACCCCCTTGCAGGTGGGTGCCAGCTTCTTCAGCAGGAAGGGGATGGTGATCTGCAGCAGGGCCTCCCTGAAGAACTTCTTCCTCACAGTGCTGCTGTCATAGTCGAATTTCTGCAGGGTGAGAGGGTGCCCCGGGTCACCCAGGGCTGTGGGCTGGCAGCCCCCTGCCCACACGCACAAACCCCTGAGATTTGGGCCCTCAACCCATTCACACAGACCCCTCTGGCCTCACATCCCTCTCTCCAGCAGTTTTCCAGTGTTTCTGAGCCCGGGTAGGAGCCAGCTCTTCCACTGCTGGCTGCAGGAGGGTTTGGGGGGCCAGTCTGAACCCTGGGGGGCTTTTATGGATGTGCTCAGAGGGGACCTGGCTCCTCCAGGTGATTTCCCACTTCCCTGCCCCCAGCAAAATCCATGAAAACCCTAAAAGACTTTTGAAATAGATAACACCACTGCTAGCTTCTTCCCTGGCCCTGGAACAAGGCCACCAAAGGCCACTAAAGGCCACCAGAGGCCACCAGAGGCCTGATCCCCGGCTCACCTTGAGCACCCTCTCGAGGATGCGCTGGATGGACTTGCACAGGTCGTCCTTGCCCTGCAGCTTGCCCAGCTCCTGGTGCAGCAGTGTCTCGAAGGTGTACACGGCATCGTCCATTTGCTGCCACCAGAGACACCTGGTCAGTGTGGGGGCACCCAAAGGGGGGCAGGGGGCTCTTGGGGCACTGCCACACCGAGATGAGACTTAGCACAGATTCCCACACTGGTTTGGGGTGGAAGGGACCCTAAAATCATCCAGTGCCACCCCCTGCCATGGCAGGGACACGTCCCACTACCCCAGGCTGCTCCCAGCCCTGTCCAGCCTGGCCTTGGGCACTGCCAGGGATCCAGGGGCAGCCACAGCTGCTCTGGGCACCCCGTGCCAGGGCCTGCCCACCCTCCCAGGGAACAATTCCTTCCCAATATCCAACAGGCAAAGAGCCTTCACTGTGCACAAATCCCTGACGTCCCAGCGTGGCATCCACAGCCCTCGCCCCCAGGATCAGGGGTGTTGGGAGAGGAGCTTGCTCAGAGCTGGTGTTGCACCTCCTCATCCTCCTACACCCCATGCCAGCTTAAGCTGGACCAGACCCCAGAGCTGGCTTAGGGACCTTGCTGGTGCCAGTGGGCTCAGTGGCAAAGGGGCAGCTGTGCCAGGATGCCCCAGCCCACCACGGGCTCCAGACCAAAGTGGCTCCATCAGCCCTTGG